TTATTGTTGTAGCGCCTTGAGCGTATCAATGAAAATGAAATGAAAATTAATGCGGTGTGCAGACCATCGACTTGAGAAAGGAACGTCGATTCAAAAAAAAGAAGGAACAGCTTTATTGGTCCAATTTACTGTTTTTTGCTAGCTTTTTCTCACTCCCACACTATTTTTCCCAAGATCTTTTAATCCCGGTATCCTCAAGGCAGTCGGTAAGCAATCCATTAGTTGATGACTCTTCGGCGCAAGCGATCGCGATCGCAGCTTTCTGCTGTCGTTTCAATAATCGCAATACATTTTTGTGCTTTTTTCCAGCTATATGTTTGCTCCTTAATTGATACAGATCACGTTGTAAAAGATACTTGAGAAAAACGCACCAATTTCGCTTTCCAGCAATGACTTTATTACAAATTTCACATCGTTGTGTCATGTTTGCTTCATCGCTGCTTTCATAAATTCCTTCCTCCTAAAACTGAGGAAAAGGTTGACAAACTTTGAACGAAAACCCGTGAGTACCTTTTCTTTGAAATCATAGCCATTCATCCATTCGTCAACTATGAGTACACCATTAGCAATGAAGCTATATTTATCAGAAGTATCCAGCTTTTTCAGGGAAGGAACCTAAAACATACTCCAGACAAGGGAGAGATACTCAGGCCCATTTGCATGAACATCCCTGCGGCGAGGGAAGTAGTGCCTCCAATGACGGAAAAGTAGCAGCGGTATTCGCCTGTTGCCCCTTCATAGCGCGGACGCCGTTCCTCTCGCCTCAAGGATATTTATGCTTACGAGCTGTAATGAACGCAGTCATACAAATAGAAGTTCGTGATAATAGATGCGCTTTTTGACGCTTAATCCAAGACCGTCTTCTAAATCTGCGAAGGACTACGTGAACCGTACCATAATAATTGTTTGAGAATAAATAGCTTGCCTTGTTGCGGAGGAAACCATCAACTCATTCTTTCCCTTTCAACTCCCAGAAGAATTAGTTAGTTTGGATACGATAGTACCTGGTCGTAAACCATATTATGTAATACAGGGTGTCCCCAAAAAAAGTGCCTTTGATTGCTGATAGTCTCTTGGTATGCAGTCTTTTGAAAAGCTCGAGGTACCATTTTTGTAGAGGTTGCTTCAACTTGGATTTACAGTGTGAAGCAGATAACCGTTCTCTCTTCGTTATT